GTGTGTGTGTGTGTGTGTGTGTGTGTGAGTGTGTGTGAGTGTGTGTGTGAGTGTCTGGGGAAACAGAGGATTTGAGGTCACTCCAAGGCCCTGGTCTCCTAATTATCTGCTGGAGATGAAGGATGAGTGTGAGAGTATGAGGCCAGCGGAGGCCTGTGTGAAATCCGAGCGTGTGTAGCACCATGTTCGTGATCACTGAGATACTATGATAGGTTTTTATTTATATTTTAGATTAGTTTTTATTTAATTTTCCGTTTTTATTTTAAGTTAAACTTTTAGTAATTTTGTTGTGTTTTTGTCATTTTTACTGTTTTTAGTTTTTTTTAAAGTCTCTATAGTTTTTTATTCATTTTGTTTTAGCTATTTATTTTAGTACATCAAGTCACCAATCTTTTATGTATATATATATTTTTTTTTATTAAATACATTTAATTTATTTCAAGTAACAAAAATGAGTTTGTCTTTATGGTTTTAGTTTAACAGGTCAGATTTCTGTATTAGGTACTAATCAAATGAATGTGTTTGTGGACACAATAACTAGGGTTTATATTTTTAACATCAATAAATCCCAGTTGTTTCAGTCTGATACATTTTAACTGAATATAGTTTTTCCAAAGCTAGCCATATTTTTGTCACGGGCAGGGTGTTCCAGAGACCAGGCAGGAAGACGAAGATGACGAATAAACGGATATTTAATGACTTGACAACAGGGAATTCAGACAGGGTAAACATCCACATTCAGGGTAACATTCACAATAACCGACAAACTGGAATACAAGAGACAGGAACAGATGTAGGGCAGATAACGAGGGGCAGACAGGTGAGCACAATGAGGTGATTAACTAATAACGAGAACAGGAACAACCAAATAAGGACACAGAGGGAGAGACCACAATCAACAGTCCACAGGGGTGTGACAATTTTAGCCATGTTCATAGTTCATAACTGAGTAAATGTTATTTTCACAGTTAACAGATTTATGTTGATTCTAAGGATTTTGAATAAATGCATTTTGAAAATGATTATTTAAATAATTAATAATACATGTAAATATTTAATGTAAATAATTAATAATATACTGTTTTGTTTTTTTTGCAGAAATCTACCCGTTTAATTTATTTTTGACAAACAAATATGTATTACATACTTTTTTTTAAATGTTAAAACTATCTAAAATTTCCAAATGGATTGAAATGTTACATGTAATTCAAAAACATAAATCTTACATTTAAGCCTAAATATTATTTGGAGTGCCAAACAGGGCTATTTTAGTTAACTAAAACTAAAACCATATTTAAAAAAAAAAATCATTGACATAAATTAAATGCTAAAGATCATGGAATAGTTTATTATGAATTATTTGCATCTATTTGATTTAATTTAAAAAATCATATTTTCAAAATTCATTTATTCAAAATCCTTGGAATCAACATAAATCTCTTACCTGTGAGCAATTTTGTGAATAAACTATGAACATGGTTAAATATGACTAAGTAATATTCAGTTAGTTAAAATGTATGAGACTGAAACAACTGAGATTCACTTTATTAAGTACTATTACAGAAATCTGGCCCGTTTCATTCATGTGTGACTGACAGATACACATCACATCAGGTTTATTAGATTATGTTAAATAATCCAAATGGATGGAAATTTTATATGCAGTTCAAATATGTAAATCTTAAGTTTAGGTCTAAATGTGTTTGGGAGTGACACGGAAACACAGAGACAGACAGCAGATGCAGCGCTGTGAGTCTGTGAGAGAACGCAGTGATAAACGCTGATCTGTGGATGCTTTCTGAGCAGATCTATCACACTCACCTCGCAGGTCCTGCCCGGCCGTGTTCTGTCGTGTCATGCGCAGCGGAGCGTGTCTCTGATCATCCAGGTACACCAGGTCCTCCAGATGAGCCGAGCTGGTGGCTGATGGGACAGAAACACAGCTGGATGAAGACGAGCTCATCTGATGAATCAATCCATCTCATGAACACTTGACAATAAAACGTGCAACACACAACAACACTACCATTCATTTATTTATTTAACACACATACTTGTTTACATTTCAAATTTGCACATAACATACCTGTACGTACAAAATTGTCTATTTTGTATATTTGTATATTATTCTTTCTATTATCAGTGTCTTGTCTTGTCACTGTCATTCTGTTGCACTGTGGAGCTTCTGTCACTAAAACAAATTCCTCGTATGTGTAAACATACCTGGCAATAAAGCTCATTCTGATCCTGATTCTAATCCTGATTCTGATCCTGATTCTGATTCTGATCCTGATCCTGATTCTGATTCTGATTCTGATCCTGATCCTGATTGAGATACAAACATTTAGAGACAGATTACAAAAAATGTAAGCATTTAATTCATAAAATTTCAATGTAAACCTAATAAGCTAATGCTGAACAACAGCTTTTTAAACAGGTAAGTCCCCTCCAACATGCGTAAATATGAACTAGATCAACGTTTTTCCCACGACAGGCGGCCGTGCAGGTTTAAATGCTTTCTATGAGCCAAACACAGAATGTAGAAACTAACTCACCTCATCTAAATACAGTATTCACAACCTTTCAACATGAAACCAAGAAATGAGACCTACACTTTCCCTGCTTCTCTCCACAGCTTCTCAAATGTTTGTATATACGTCGCCAGTTAAAGGGTTAACTTCCAATCAGAACATCCTAGCAACTGCATAGCAACCGCTTAGAACACTATATCAAATATATCAGAGCTGGGCAGATTACTTACAAATTGTAGTCCGTTACTGATTTCAAATTACATGACAAAAACTGTAGTTAGTAATGTAATCCATTATATTACACATTTTAGGTAATATAATCAGATTACTTTTTGTTTACTTTTAGATTAGTTTTGTATGTAATCTACAAGTAATCGTGTAATCAATAAAAAGTAATTGTAGTCTGATTACGAGTACTTTAAAATGTAATCTAATTAAGTACTTAAATTTTGGAATCTGATTACATAATCTTGATTACATGTAATCAGTTACTTTCTCAGCCTTGAAAAACTGCAAGGAGTACCCTAGCAACTGTGTAGCAATACACATGCAACCATCAGAATACCCTAGCAACCGCATAGCAACTGCCCAATATCTGTAATATAAAGACTGTTTGAGAAAAAACAAGAATTTAAGAAAGGAGCATTAGTGTGTGAATGCATGAAAGAAATACTTGAAAAAACAGATTAACAATCTCACAATTTGGATTTTTATTCTCATAATTCTGAGGTTTTATGTAACTCGCAATAGCGAGTTAACATCTCGCAGTTCTGAGACTTTATACCTTCTGCAAAATACAAACTCAGAACTGTGAGATATACTCAGAATTGAGAAAGTCAGAAACATGAGCTAAAACCTCGAAATTAACTTGTTTTTTATTCCTTAACTGAAACAAGAAAACAGATTTGGAAGGTGTAAAAAAAAAAGTCAGAATTATTAGTTTATATTTACCAGTTCTGACTTTTTTCTTAGAATTTCGAGAAACAAAGTCAGAATTGCGAGATAAAAAGTCAGAATGACCATTTTTTACTTTTTTATTCCAAGGAAGAAATTGGTTTTAAAGTAGATTGGAAGGTGTAAAAAAAATTTTTTACCAGTTCTGACTTTTTTCTTAGAATTTCGAGAAACAAAGTCAGAATTGCGAGATAAAAAGTCAGAATGACCATTTTTTACTTTTTTATTCCAAGGAAGAAATTGGTTTTAAAGTAGCTCTACAGAAAATGCTTGTACAAATAAATAAAACAACACAATAAAACAAGACTGTTAAGGTATCAAATATGAAGTTTTGACACGAAAACCAATGGTGTTTGACGTTATTAATACCCAACCTGTGCCATAAGTGGATTACAAAATGATCCAAGTCATATGAACCACTTTTATGGTGCTTTTAAAGCGCATCATTATTATGATTAATATATACTCAGTATATTGTTGTTGTCATTATCAGTCATATTTTCATTATATAATGATGAAATAATCATGACAGTCTTTACTGTAGCTCAAACCCGTCTGAGAGCACAACTGTAGTTTTCTGAGAGAGACTTTTGTAGTTTTTGGAGGCAGTGTGTGTTACTTTCAGCTCAATGGTTATTTTTGACAAGGATGACATATTCCACAGAGCTCAAGGAGTCTTCTCAGAATGACTTTGTGTGAGTGGACGTCTCATTGTAAATGCATCAGATGAAATAGAAAGGGTTCTCTACAAAAAAAATAAAGTAATCACGTTGAAATTGATTTTGGGTGTGCTTGTGTGTGTTATCATCATGTGTGCTCGTGTGTATATGACAAGACAGCCTTGTTCTGAGATAATATGTTTAAAATTGAGTTTGAGTGTGTGAAGACGTGTGTGTGTGTGTGTGTGTGTGTGAGTGAGTGAGTGAGTGAGTG